TTTTGCATGAGGCAGTATAACCATTAGGCAGGTCAACCAGCCATACTATTTCAACAAAAATGCAGATCGATTTATCAACGGACGACGGTCGTACTATTTGAACAATAATGCATACTTATACTATTTGAATATACTATAGGACCTTGATAGGTGAAAACATCACGAGGCGGCAATTGAGAGGCAACAATGGCTGCAAGGCCACGAACCCTATCGACCGATGCTGGCGGTGCGACCCGAACTGGGCCAAGAATCGAAAAAAGCTCGCCGATTGCGCCCGCGGCTTCGGCCACGACACGCATGGCGGTAAAGACGGGCGGTACTATGTGGTTACCGACGCCTCGGATGACAGCGTGGACAACCCGAAGCCCGGGACCCTTCGCCACGCGGTCATCCAGAAGGAGCCACTGTGGATCGTCTTCTCCCACAGCATGGTGATCAAGCTTCAACAAGAGCTGATAATGACGAGCCACAAGACGATCGACGGGCGAGGCGTACTAGTACGCATCGCTTACGGTGCCGGCATCACGATCCAATTCGTCAAGAACATCATCATCCACAATGTATGGATACACAACATCGTGAAGGCCTCAGGTGGCATGATTCGGGACTCGGTCGACCACTTGGGGCTCCGGACGCAGAGCGATGGGGACGGCATCAGCATCTACGGGTCGAGCCGTGTGTGGATCGACCACGTGTCGCTCTCCAAGGGAGTCGACGGGCTAATCGACATCATCGAGGGATCCACCGCCATCACCATCTCCAACTGCAAGTTCAACCACCACAACGACGTACGTTCACTCACCGTTGCTAGCTAACTATTTTCAACATTTTTTTTTCCCATAACAACAAATTTCAAAGGAAATATATTCCAATGGAAAACCAACGGCAATCCGAATGGATACTCCAATTTTATTATATCCGTTGGAATTTGGAACGGATTCCAACAAAAATGTTTTGTTAGAATAAGTTTTTCATTTGAATTTCTGTTGAATTTTGATGATTCAAACGGTTGAAATGTAGTTTGCAAAAAATAATCCAACAGATATTTCATATTCCAATGGTAATTCTTAGCTCCATTATAGTTGGAATCATAAGATTTCAACTATAATTCCATAGAAAACTTAATTCCAAAAGCTACACTATTAGAATATCTGTTAAATTTTTCATTCGAATATTTTACCGTTGGAATATGGTAATTCTTTTGTAGTTTCCCAAAATTTTTGCCAAGACACTAACTTACGAATTGAACGATTGTGGACGAAATGATGCAGGTGATGTTGTTGGGTGCGCACGACACGGACTCCAAGGACTCGATCATGCAAGTGACGATCGCGTTCAACAGGTTCGGAATAGGGTGCATACAGAGGATGCCACGTGTCAGGTGGGGATTCGCCCATGTCGTCAACAACGACTACTCCCATTGGGAGCTCTACGCAATCGGAGGTAGCGCGCACCCGACCATCATTAGCCAAGGCAACAGATTCAAGGCCGCCGATTACCAATACACCAAAGAGGTAAAAAGCTATGAACATACTACCATAAAATCGAGCACCCGTAAATTGTTTTTTTTTTTTTTTTTAAT